ATGTGACAGTAATGATACTGTTTGATAATTTCCACACTCTGTTGGGTCACCTTTCTTTGGAATGGGAACAAATATCGATCTCTTTTCGTCAGTTGGTCAGCTGGCTGTCCTCCATATTTCTTGGCACAACTTAGTGAGCACATCCAGGGCAATGTCTGTTTGTTGAAATAAATCAATTGGTATGCAGTCAACTCCTGGAGCCTTGTTTTTTGCCAATTCCTTCATAGCAACTTGAACTTCCTCCTTCATCACCATAGGCTCTTGCTCATATATTATTTCATGACATTCCTCTGTGTCAGCCAATTCCTTCTGATACAATGACTCTGTGTACTCCTTGCATCTTCTTTTGATACTTCCTGGATCATTTTACCCAAACTATCTTTAAGTATTGCCACCCATGGCTTAAATTTGTTTTTCAACTCCTTCAGCCTAAGAAACACTGAGCGAGTTTGGCCCTTTGGCTTTTCTGACTCTAGCTCTCTGCACATTTCTTTTTTTTTTTTTTTAATTTTTATTATTTTGTGTGTCTGTGTACCGTCAAATCAGATTTGACTGGTACAGGAGGAGATTGTTCCTCTTTGTCCAGTAAAGCATCTGGTGTATTTGAACCGCACACCTCTGGGATTGCAGTGTAGCTTCTTGCCACTAGGCCACCAGAGCTCGCCTACATTTCATTATAGTATCTTGCTTTGTCATCCCAAGTTGCCTTTTGAGATTTTCTGTTCAACTCTTTGATCTCTTCCTTTAGCTTTGGCTTCTCAGCGCTCTAATGCAATACTCAGAGTCTCATCTGACATCCATCTAAGCACCCCACTACTACTCCTCAAAAATAAAATGAATGACTATTGATACATGCACACACATATCAAGTGTTCTGGGATTCCCATTCTTCTCAGAGTCAGTCAGTGTGTTGTGATCCACACAGTCAAATGTCTCTACAAAGTCAATGAAACACAGACATACATTCCTCAGATAGTCTCTGCTTTCAGCTAAGATCCATCTGACATTAGCTATACTATCCCTAGTGCCACGGTCTCTTCTAAATCCAGCCTGCACTTCAGGCAGTTCTCTATTGATTTTCTGTTCCAGTCGTTTTTGGATAACCTTCAGCAGATTCTTGCTTGAATGTGATATCAATGATATTGTATGATTATTTCCACACTCTGTCAGATCACCTTTCTTTGGAATGAGAATATAGATCTCTTCCAGTCAGTTGGCCAAGTGATTGTCCTCCAGATTTCTTGGAACAACTTGGTGAGTACATCCAGGGCAGCGTCTGTTTGTTGAAATATGTCAATCAGTATGTCATCAAATACTGAGACTTTGCTTTCTCCCAATTCTTTAAGAGCAGCTGGAATGACTTCTTTCATCACCACAGGCTCCTGAACATACATTATTTAATTAAATTCTTCTGTGTCCACCAATTCCTTTTGGATAATGATTCTGTATACTCTTTCCATCTTCTTTAAATGCTTCCTGGTTCATTTACTATTCTGTCCAAAACATCCTTAAGTATTGCAAATTAAGGTTTGAATTTGTTAGATACTTGGACCATGAGGCAGTTGTCAGAACAGAGCAAGAAAACACTATATGGTTCAAAATTAGGAAGGGTGTGGTCAAAGATGTGTTCTATCTCCATATCTTTTCAATCTATATGCAGACCAGATTATCCAGGATGCTGGGCTCTATGAGGAGAAATCTGGCATCAGGATTGGAGGTAGACTCATCAACAATCTGCATTATGCAGATGACACAACTCTGCTTGCTGAAACTGAGGAAGACCTGAAGCAATTGCTGCACAAAGTCAAGGACTGCAGATTTCAATAAGGATTGAGGCTCAACATCAAGGAAACAAAAATTCTCACCACTGGGCCAATTGACAGCATCATGACAGATGTTGAAGAGATTGAGATTATTCACAGCTTCAGTTGGTTTGGCTCTACAATCAACACTCTTGGTACTAGTAGTCAGGAAATTAAAAGATGGTTTACTTTGAGAATGTGTGCTGTCAGAAACCTCTCCTAAGTACTGAAGAGCAACAATGTTAGTCTGGAGACTAAGGTGCACCTGATACAGGCCATGGTCTTTGCAGTTACCTGCTATGCATCAGAGAGCTGAAAAATGACTAAGGATGATAGAAGGAGAGTTGAATCCTTTGAGTTGTGGTGCTGGAGAAGAGTACTGAATGGACTGCTAGGAGAACAAACTAGTTCATCCTGGAGAGGGTGAAGTCAGACTGCTCTTTGTAGGCAGGGATTCTGAGGTTTCATCTGACATACTTTGGACATGTTGCAAGGTGGATCAGTCCTTGGAGAGGGACATCATGCTTGGGAGGGTGTAGGGACAGCGCAGGAGAGGAAGACCCTCAATGAAATGGATTGATTCAGTCACTGGGGTAATGGGAATAGGTGTGTTGAAGACAGTAAGATTGGCAAGGCATAGAGCAGGGTTTAGGGCTGTTATATACAGGGTCGCTCTGAGCCCCAGGCAACTTAACAGCACATAACAACAACATCTGATACATGCAACAGCATGAACACATGTCAAAACAATAATGCTGAGTTAAAGGCAGAATGCTCCTTCTTACAGAATACAAGCCATTCCTGTCCTAAGTCTGTCCTTAAGTCAAATTTATACATTTGTACAGTCAAATAAAGTCCTAGTGTCATTAAGTTAAATATTTATCTTAGTTTACTTTATTTAATAGTATACAGTGTACCTCTCAATACATAAAAATTTAAAGAAAAACTTGCCCTAACACTAAAATATTTTTAATACAGGAATAAAAATAAGGGAAAGTAGCATCTATTTATTTTTACAAACCATTATACATACGTTGACCTTTTAACATAGTAGGCTTCATGAAGGTTTATTCATTAACTATAAGTTGTATGTAAGTCAGACGTTTATAATCTGGGGAATGCCTGTATAGGTTTCCATTTATTTTTAAAGTTAGAAAACGCAAACCATAGTGACAGAAAGACCAATGATAGCCTGGGGAAAAACTAAGGACAGGTGGAAGATGCATATGGTGATAGTTCATGGACTATCAGTTTTTTTAAAAAAATCAAGCCCACTGCCTTCAAGAGAGTCCTGGTTCTACATAGCAGAAAAGCTCTGGTTATGTTCATTAGAACAGTTTCTTGGTGATGTTCTTTACAGAAACAGATTACCAGGTATTTCGTCTTTGGAGTTGCTAGGTTACTTCCAACTTCCAACCTTTATTCTTCTTTCTTCTCATTGCTGTCCAGTCAGAACTGACTCACAGCTGACCATCCATCAAGTTTTCAGAGGTTGTAAACTGCACGAGAGGAAACTGTCCATCTTTCTCCTTCCAAGGCACTAGTAGAATCAAACCAAGTGCCACTGGCTTGGTAGTGTAACTCCTAACCAAACAAGTCACCAGAGCTCCCTGACTTTTTAGGAGTATAAATAACTTGGGCCATCCAAGGAGGTTTAGAAGAGGCCATGCCACTGGGGATATTACAGCCAATGTTAGATGGATCTTGGCTGAAAGCAGAGAGAACCAGAGGAATGTCTATCTCTGTTTCATTGACTATGCAAATGCATTTGATTGTGTGGATTACAACAAACTGTGGATAACTCTGAGAAGAACTGGAATCCCAGAACACTAGATTGTACTTATACAAAATTTACAGTTGGACCAGAAGGCAGACATCTGAACAAAACAAGTAAACACTGCATGGTTCAAAATCAGAAAAGGTGTATTCCAAGGATGCATCCTATCTCTATACCTTTTCAATCTATATATGGAACAGATCATCCAGGAGGCTGGACTTTCTAAGGAGGAATGTGGTATGAGGATTGGAGGAAGACTCATCAGTAATCTACATTATGCAGATGATACAGCCTTGCTTACTGAAATTTGTTACAGAAGGTCAAGGACTGCAACCTTCAATGTGGATTGAAGCTCAACATCAAGAAAACTAAGACTCTAACCACCAGGCCAAATGGCAGCATCATGATAAATGGCGAAGAGACTGAGGTTGTTGACAGCTTCAGTTTGCTTGTATCCACAATCAACACTCTTGGTTCCAGAAGCCAGGAAATCAAAAGGTCAACTTCATCAGAAAAAATCTGCTATCAGGGATCTCTCTAGAGTACTGAAGTGCAATGGTGTCAGTCTAGAGACTAAGGTGTACCTGATCCAGGTCATGGTCTTCGCAATTACTTGCTATGCATCAGAAAGCTGGACAATGACTAAGGATGATAGAAGAATTAATGCCTTTGAGTTGTGCTGTAGAAGAGTATTGAATATAGCACAGACTGCTAGGAGAACAAACAGGTTGGTCCTAGAGAGGGTGAAACCAGGCTGTTCCTCAGAGGCAAGGATTTTGAAACTCTGTCTGACATACTTCGGGCATGTTCCAAGGAGAGGCCAGACATCATACCAGGAAGACCCTGGATAAGATGGATTGACCCTGTAACTGTGGTAATGGGAGTAGGTGTGTCAGAGACAATGAAATAGGCTCAAGAAAGCGCAGGGTTCAGAGCTGTGGAACATAGGATCGCTAAGAGTCCTGAAGCGACTCGACGGCACATAAGAACAAAATATGTATTCAAAATTTATCCAACTGCACATTTTAACTGTAAAACGTATTTTATATCAATCTCAACAAAGGTGAAGCATTCAGAGCAATCATTTGCTAAAGAAGAACAGAAAAATTCTAGGTTCCTACTCTAAGTCCTAGTGAATGTGTTGCTGGGAACCCGATTGCCACCTCTTTGGTATTCTTCTAACTTAAAACTGACAGAGTCCTCTTTCCCTTCTGGGAACCCAGAGAGATTCACAAACTCCTGAATAAGCTTCAAAGTCCTCTCCTATGTCTGAGTTCTCAGATTCTGCCCAACAAACCTTGTCTACCTTCGCGATGACACCACTTAAAAACTAAGAGCAAATATCCCCACTCACACAGTTCAGATCAGAAATACCACCAAAAGAGGCATCCCTAGATATAAACCCCCATCGTCCGGGTTACCTGCCACCGGCTGGCCGCGCCGCGGACAGTTCAGCCACCGCGGCGGGATCCTGTTATGAGCCATATCTTGGGGCCACAGAGAACCGTCCACTTCCACCAACGTTCGCCGCGCTTTCACCGCCCCCGCCTCGCGATCCGCTCGGCCCCGGAGGTCCGAAGCACCCGAATGTCAGCCTATGTACAAATCCCAGCCTCTGAAACCCGGTAACGTCAGGAGCCGCGCGCCACTTCCATTCAGACTCAACTCCAGATCCCCGGACAACCCACAATGCATCGCAACTTCCGGCCTGGGAGGAAGTCAAGTCCCCTGCTTTCTGAGGTCAGAGGGGAAGGTAGGAAGTTCGCAGAGAGACAGGAAAGAGTTAATCCCAGCCAATGGGAGGGACGAGGCTTTTGTGGCCCCGCCTCTCCAAGATTCAAGTGCTCCTTCAGGGGTCTCTTAGAGTGTGGGAGAAGAGGATTGAACGTACAAAAATACAAACAACTATGTCTTCGGGAAGGTGTAGCCAGAGTACTCCTTGGAGGCATGGAAGGAGCTTTGTCTCTCATGCTTTGGGCACGTTTCTGGGAAAGGTTATTCCTGGGAGAGGGACGGACGAAGGAGAGCAAGACGCTCAACCAGGCGGATTGGCACAGTGACTCAAACAATGAGCTCAAGTGTGTTAGATGTGGATGGTACAGGATAGGACAGGCTTCAGATCTGTTATTCGTTGAGTCGTACTGGACTAGGCGGCACCTACAACAACATTGCCCAATTCTTAGGGAGTTGAGCTACTAAGCCAAAGGGTTCGCTTCTTGCTGGTGTATCAGAGCCTCGTGGGAGACAGGTGAGCTATCTCCAAAACACAGGCTCCCTGCTGTCAGCTTTGAGTCCTTTTCTACTCTGTGGCAAGGGATTGGCTTAAACCAGCACGTGGTTTTCTCGTTTTTCCTTGGCAGGACCAGTGAGACAAACATCAGAAAGTGGAAATGAAACCCTTTTCCCACTCACATACTGTCCTGTTGTTTTCGTGAAATCACTTGTGTTTAGTAATAAAAGGGCCTTTCCTCTGCTACCACTCCTATTAAGTGCCTAGAAGTCAATAAATGAGTCATAGCGACCCTCTAACATCTTAAAATTCTTATGTAGTAGTGGGAGGCTGGTTTATTGAGGAGAATGGGAATACCAGAGCACTTAATTGTGCTCATGAGGAACCTTTACCTGGAGCAGGAGGCTATTGTTCAAACGGAGCAGGGGAGCTCTGCATGGTTTGGAAACAGAAAAGGAGTGTGTCAGGGCTGTATTCTGTCTCTATTCCTGTTCAATCTATATGCTGAGCAAATTATCCAAGAAGCTGGACTCCATGAAGAGGAATGTGGCATCTGGATTGGAGGGAGACACATCAATAACCTGCGTTATTCAGATGACACAACCTTATTTGCTGAAAGTCAGGAGGATTTGAAGCACATGTTGCAGAAGATCAAGGAATGTAGCCTTCAGTATGGATTGTGTCTCAATATCAAGAAAACAAAATTCTTACCACTGGACCAACAGGCACTGTCATGATGGATGGAGAGGAGATGGAAACTGTCAGCAGCTTCATCTTGCTTAGATCCAGTTAACGCCCTTGGTACCACCAGTTAGAAAATAAGGAAACGTATTGCACCTGGAAAACCTGCATTTGGAGACTTTTCCAAATTATTGAGGAGTAGTAATATCAGTTTGAGGTCTAAGGTGTATCTGATTCAGGCTATGGTCTTTCCAATTACTAGTATCAGAGAGCTGGACAATGACTAAGGATGACAGAAAAAGAACTGATGTCTTTGAGCTGTGGTATTGAGACCTGAACATCGCATGGACAGCAAAGAAAACAAATACATATGCAGTCAGAGTGCTCTTTGGAGGCAAGTATGATGAGGCTTCTCCTCACATACTTTGGACATATTGCTAGAAGGCGCTGTTCCTTGGAGAGGGACAGGGTGTTGGGAAGGGTGGAGGATCGGCAAAGGAGAGGAAGACCCTCAACCTGGTGGACTGACAAGGTGACTGCTGCAATGGGCTCTTGGGTGTCAGGAAGTATGAGGATGGTGCAGGGCAGCACTGGGTTCAGATCTTTTGTTCATAAGGTCACTATGGATCTTACTCAACTCAATGGCACCTAACAACAACAACAACAGAGTTTAAAATAGCATTTTGCCCTACCTTAAGTAAGAAATGCTCTGGTTTGTACCTGACACTATTAATGACAGATAGGAATCCTGTACTATCCTCACAGTCTCCAACACCTTCAAGCCCATTGCTGCAGTCACTGTGTCTGTTCACCTGGTTGAGGAACTTCCCCTCCTTGATTGTCCCTCCAACTTCCCAATCATATCCCTCTCCAAAGAATAGTCTCTCCTAGCAACATGCCCAAAGTATGTCTGTGAGACAAAGCTTCATCACCTTTGCCTCCAAGGAGCACCCTGGCTGCACCCTTTCTAAGACATATCTGTTTGTTCTTTTGGTAGTCTGAAATATTCAGATCTTGTCTCCAACACCACAATTCAAAGGCATCAATTATTCTTTTGTGATCCTTAGTCATTGTACAGCCCCCAGATGCATAATATGTGACTGAAAAGATAGGTGTCATCAACTCAAAGTGACCTTAGTAACAGCAGACTGGAACCCTCCTCTTTCCTGCACTATCCTCACCATCCCTGGTAAACTTGAACCCATTGTTATTGCTATAGCTCTGTCAGTCCATCTCACTGAAGGTCTTTCTTTCACTGACCCTCCACTTTTCCGAGCATGATTTCCTTTTCCAAGGACATGCCTTAAGCGTGTGAGAAAAAATATCGTCATCCTTGCGTTCAAGGAGTACTTTGGCTGCACCTTCTCCAAGAAATGTTTGTTTGTTCTTGTGGGAGTCCATGGAATATTCAGGACTGTTCTTCAGCACCACATTCAAAGGCATCAGTTCTTCTTTAGTCATCCTTAAGTATTGTCCAACTTAAAAATGCATAGGAAGTAATTGAAAAGGCCATGGCTTGGATCAAGCACACCTTAGTCTTCAAACTGGCATAGCTGTTCCTCAGCACCTTGGGGAGGTCCTTGATAGTAGATTTCTCCAATGCAAATCAAGATATTTGCATTGGAGAAATAATATTTATGGTGTTCTTATGGTGTTGGTTGTGAATCCAAACAAGATAAAATCATTAACCATGTCAATCCTCTTATACCATGATGTTGCCTTTTTGTCTGGTGGTAAGGATTTTCATTTTCTTGATGTTGACATTTAATCCATATTATAGGCTGTCATCTTTGAACTTCAATAAGTTCCTCTTTGCTTTAAATAAGCAAACGTGTAATCTGCGTAACGCAGGTTGTTGATAAGTCTTCTCTAATTCTGATGCCACATTCTTTTTTTATACCATTTTAATTTTTTAAATATTTTTCTTGATTTTCATATAGTAATACCTTTACAGTATGTTTCATTCATATACTAAAGTCCAGCTTCTCAAATGATTTGCTCAACATGTAAATTGAGTAAGTATGCATAAAGGACACAGTCCAATACACACTTACCTTGATTTTAAACTATTCAGTGTTTCCCCAAAAGCCAAAGATGAAAAGATGGAGGAATTCTAACAACTTTTGCAGACTAAAATTGACTGACCGTATAATCAAAATATCTTAATAATAATTGGTGACTGGAATGCAAAAGTTGGAAACAAAGAAAAAGACCCCATGGTCAGAAATTATGGACATGTTGACAGAAATGAGGCTTTTGATTGAATGAAAGAATTTTGTACCATCATTTATTCATTGCAAATTCCTTTCTCAAAAACCATGCACAATGACTATATACATGAACGTCATCTGTTGGAATATGCAGGAATCTGATTGACTACATATGTGGAATAGTTGGAGAAGTCATGTAATGACTGTTGAACCATCAACTACTCATGTGCAAATTTAAATTCAAGCTGAAGATAAAACAAGGCCACCAGAATACAACCTTTAATCTATCCCACCTGAGTTTAAAAACCATCTCAAGATGGTTTTCCATATGCTAGCAAATAAAAAATTTTGCATTTTCCACTCCAAACCCTATCTCAAAGACTGGGGCTTTTGACAGCAGGAGACAGAACTGTGTTTCTCAAGTAACATGAACAATGGATAGAAATGTTGGCCCTATCCTGTGCTATCCTCACAATCTCTGCAGTGCTTAAAGCTATTTATTGTTAAAGTTTCTGTATCTATCTTACCAAGAGTCTTCCTCTCTTTCACTAATGTTATAACTTTTCCCAGCAGGATACCTTTCCCCACGCCTTACAAATATCAGCATCCTTGCTTCTAAGGAGCATCCTGGTTGCAACTCATTCAACACAGATTAGCTTTTTCTTTCGATGGGTCATGGTATATTTAATACTCATCACAAACACCACATTTCAAAAGCATCAATTCTTCTGTCATCTTTAATCACTGTACAATTTTGATATGCAACATAACTCTGGGCATCTGGGTTTTTTTTTTTTACCAAGTTTGGCATCAAGGCTAGATCTGGGTTTGATTTGGTTTGAAGAGAAGTTTTCCCTGGAATAGATCAGGGTAAAAGATTTAAAGAAGCTCTGATGGTAAAGGATTGGAATATAAAAAAAAATTAGTCATTTATCTTGAAGGGAAAGGGGCTACATATGAGGATTCATTCATGAAGGGTCTGAACTTAGAATCCAAATAGTTTTGCTTGTACATTTCTTATCAAAGTTTCTAGGTAACTAGGAAAGTTCCCGGGGGCGGGGGAGGGAGGGAGGAGGGGGCTGGGCATAATTCTCGGTTTGCAGAGGGGGCTCAGTCCTGCCTGGACTTTAATCTCAACTGTGGCCCAGCTATCACTATGCTGAGCTATCCACAAAGAAGAAAAGACCAAAATGGATGTCAGAAGAGACTGAATATTGCACTAAAGTGTCGAGAAGGCAAAGCAAAGGGAAGAAATCAAGAAGTTAAGGAGGGAGCTCTGGTGGCCTAGTGGTAAGAAGCTGCATTGCAATCTCAAAGGGAAGAGGTTCAAATCCACCAGATGCTCTGCTGGAGAAGGAGGGGCAATGTGATTTGACAGCACACAACAAGTTAAAATAATAAATGAATGAATGAATGAATGAATGAATGAATGAATGAATGAATGAATAATTTTTTAAAAACACGTCAAGGAGCTGAATGGAAGATTTCAAAAGGTAGCATGGGAAGACAAAGCAAAGTATTATAATGAAATGTGCAAAGAACTGGAGTC